GCGAGCTGAACGAAAATTCTCACACGATCAGCTACTAAAGCAAGGACATGGCGGTTGAGGACAAGGAATATGTCCCTCGCACCCTTTAACAAATATTGAATCTAAGTTTCTAATTGAAATCGGGCTCTACAAGGCATGAACGTTTCTCTCATATGTGGTCTAATAGTTCTAGTGCCCAAATTGATAACTTTGTGGATTTATTTGATCATTTAATTTCAAGTTTTTGATGATATGTTCAATAAGGATTGCATGCCTCATAAGTCTGAAATGTCTTTCAATTAGTTTTTATGGAACGGCGTGTAAGATATTAGAGTGATTGCTAGGATTTGAAAAGTGGATCTTATTACATATACATCAAGATTTACATAATACTTTATTGCATTCCACCATTTGCCAGTTTAAAATATAATCAATTTGTTCATCCAACCTTTTTCCCCACATCATTTTTGGTATCCGTTGATGTACATTTTTTAAGTACAAGTAGCAAAATCCTTGAAAAGCGTATCAACAAAATTATGGTATGGTTGTGAGCGTGTTTTAATCAAGGTAATATTAAAGTCTTTTGTTTTTTCAGTAATATTAAAAGGGGGAAAAAAAGGTCGGTAAATTGGGCAGGGGTCCTATATGAGTTTTTGAGGATAGTGTATTTTGGAACAATGATTTTCTTTTTTTTTTTAATATGGTTAGAAAAGAAAAAAAAAATTGAGTTTACGTGTAATATTATTTTATTGAAAAATGTGTAGTTAAAATGAGGAAAGAGGAAAATGTATTAAATTATAATAGAGATTAAACAAGGGCAAAAAGTATCTCCGGGAGATTTTCTATTTATAAAAAGCATCTTATGTATAATAGTGACCATTTTTAAGTTTAGAAATTCAGTTTTTTATACACTCCAATTATATTCTCTATTTTGACTCTTCCATTTTTTTTTTCAAAAAAATTTGTTGATTTCTCATCTCTTATTTTTTCTCATCTCTTATTTTCAAATGTTGATTTGAATAATTTAAGAAATAGAGTATTGAAAATTGTTGATTATTAAATACAATCATTGTAAATAATTAAAAAGTTAAAAATAGAGAATCTCATAAAATATAATTTTAAACATTGACTATTTAGAATTGAAAACATTTTGTATTTAGAATCTTTTGGATATACTCTAATAAGAGTATTTTTTGGCTAAGCTCAACAAAGAAATAATAATAATAATGTTATTTATAGTCCGTAACTACAATCATCATGTGTGGCAGTTTGTTATTGGATGTATTAGCTTATTATTTGAGACAACTGAATTACAGAAAAGTAATGTTTNTGAGACAACTGAATTACAGAAAAGTAATGTTTCAAATAATAAGTTGACATAAAATGATTAACTGACTGTGAATAGCATTATTCAAGAAATAAAATTGACTTTTCAGCTTTCTTTTGTCAAATAAAATTTTAAAAAGAATTTTATTAATAAAAAAATTACTTTTTCAAGAAGTTACTCGTTCCGTTTATAAAGAATAAAGTACAATTATAAAAGTCATTCCTCGATGAATAGTTCATCGAGTGAGTTGAGATTACAAAGATTAAAACAAGCTAAACTATAAATGCTTATAAATTTTGTTTTTTGGGATTTCTATTTTTTGAGAAGAGATTTTCTTAAATGCGATTTTTTAAAAAATATGTAATTAAAATGATCATACTACAAGTACATAATACATTACATAATTGACATGTGACGCGCATCCATCAATAGTCTACAATTTTTGACTTTTCTACACTTCACATTCATGGCACATATGTAATCCATTATGTACAATATTATGTACATATATATTTATCCATGGGTAAATAGATCTTGAAAATATCGATGAGTGTGAACGCCAACTTTGACCAACCATAGTTTCTGTAACTCCGTTGTCAGATATCCCTAAATGGACCCTGCAATCTCACTTGGAATTGCAATACAAATTATATACCAATGGCTTCTTTTTTCAACTACTATGTTTTCTTCTTTGCCATTCTTTTATCTACTTCCTCAGCTCAAAATGGTCTAATCCTTCCCATTAGAAAGGATATCGATACCTTACAACATTACACCTTAATACAAATGGGAAACAACCGTGTCACTGTTAACACTGTAATCCATCTTGCAGAACGATTCATGTGGTTCGAGTGCGATAATTATAACTCATCCACTTACGCTCTGATACCTTGTGACACACGGAAATGTAAAATAGCCAAGGGTTTGGATGCCATGTGGAATGTCATGGGCCTCAGCGCCCTGGCTGCACCAACAACACCTGTTATGCCTCCCCTTTTAACCCATTCGAGAGTTTTATTCAAAGTGGAACTTTTGGAGAGGACACATTATACTCCAAAGATCATATGGGGGCACCCCAATTTTCCTTTGCTTGCACTCAAGGGCGGACGCAGACTTTAAAAGTCATGGAGTCACAATCGAACTTGTAAAGAAGTTGGGAGAAATTTTATTATAAAAAATTTACGTCCAAAAAAATCATACCCTATGTAATTTTACATCCGAAAATTTACATGGGATATGACTTTTTCGGATGTAAAATTTTGAAATTTTTTAATATTATATTCCATATAAAATTTCCTAATAAAATGATAAAAATTGCATTAAAAAATTTGTATCGCAAAAATAATAAATGTTAATGAAATAATTGATTTTTTTTTAGAGAAAATGCGAGTTAGACACCTTTCTTTAAGACTCATGTTTAACGCATCTTTAACTATTTTCAATATTTGTTTATACTTATGTCCATAATATAGTTCTCGAAATGAGTTTTGAGATGACATAAGCAATTCGTAGATTCAATTAGCGTACGATCATCGGAGAATTTTTAAAATTAGCATGTTATCGAAATTCAAATTTATTGTGATTTTGCCTCTATTTGGTAGAGATTAAAATTAAATTTTTAGTAAATTTTGATAAAAGTTAAATAGTTATGTATTCCATGAAATACGTTATGAAAATTAATTGTTAACTTTGATTTAGATTAAAATCTAGATTTCAATCAATACCAAACATGATTTTATAAAAAAAAAATCTCAAAAGTTAGGGGCCAGGACCCCCTTAGGTCCGCCCATGCTTGCACTGACTCAGATTATAAGAAGGGTCTAGCCAGTGGTACTACTGGGATACTAGGACTCGCAAAGACTCAAATTTCATTGCACAAACAAGTTGCAAATAAGCTCAATTTACCAGAGCAGTTTTCTCTATGCCTTCCATCTTCAGAACTCGGGACATTGTACGTTGGTGGAGGATCATCAAGCAAATCAAACGTGTCAAAATCACTTATCACAACACCCCTCATCATAAACTCTGTAAGTACTGGACCCGTTTTTTTTGTCCAGGGTGAACCTTCTGATGAATATTTTATAAATGTACTGTCCATCAAAGTCCAAGGAAAACCTCTGTCTGTCAAAAGTTCTTACTTTATCATTGACAAAGATGGAGTTGGAGGCACCAAAATAAGTACCATTAACAACTTTACTTCACTGCATTCTTCCATCTAGAAACCTTTAACCAGGGCTTTCGTCAAGGCAGTGTCTGATATGAAGATTGATAAGTGTAATTTTTACACTTGAAGTTAAAATAACGACATTTAATAGTTCTTTTGACAAAATATATTCTTAATTGTTGCATTTTATGTTTAGTAGGTGAATTTCTTTGAATGGAAAATAAATTGAAGGAAGGAAGCAAAAAGTGACGAAAAACGGCAAAATTCAAAGTACAATGACTAACTTACATTACGTGAAAGAGTTGAGGATTTGGAAAGCAAATATTAATTAATTGGGCCTCAGTTTGGATGGACTTTTGTTGGGTTAAAAAATAGGTTTTAGATATATATTTATGTACCCAGCAGCCAAGAAGAGAGGAGGAGATACAAAAAAAAAAAAAAAAGCCACTACTGCTGAAAAGAGAAAAGAAAACAGAATATACACATACAAAGTGGAGGCTTGTTATATGTGTGTACACATAGAAATTTGAAGCAGGAAAAGGGTAAGCCACAAGTATACACACATGAGAGCAGTTGGGAATATATATTATATAAATTAATTAACGCGAACAGAGACTTGGAATTAAAGAAAAAGGCAGCTTCAATTAATTTCAAATTTGTTCACGTTTGGTCAATTTTTGGTGATGTCGTTCCACTCTTACTTGTTTAATTTCAATATTATGTTAGGCAGGATTTTTACATTGCTAAAGATATAGATGAACCCTTGTCTTGAAATTTTTAATATTAATTAATTATTTTGACGTTAATTTGTTAGAATGCATAGATGTTTATTATGATTTATTATGCTTTTCAATTAATTAGCCATTAGTTGAATTGTTTGTGGATTTTATTGTCATCGAGAGAGACAATAGAATTGTTAGCACGTAGTAATAAGTATTGTGAGGTTCGATAGAGGATAGAGATATACATCTATACTTTACATGATTTTTTTTAGATGTTCTAATTCGTTTAATGTTTTCTTATATATTTGTATATTTTATAGAAATATAAAAAGGTCACATATAAGATTAGATTTAATTGCTATCGAGAGACGCTTTTAAATAAATTTAAAATTTCGACCAACTCTCATGATAACAAAGTATCATTTTAATTGTTATACTAAAAATTGATTAACAGTGAGGATTCTGCATTTTAGTAATGCATCTAAAAAATTTGATAAACTTTTATTTTGATTTATAGTATG